ACGGGGGACTGAGGTGATTGACGTCCCAGTACATTCAGCTTTCTAATTATTAGTGTTGGTCCGATCTACGCAGAATGAACTTATTGTGGCTTGAAGTTTTGCAGTGGTATGCTTGTGTTTAGTTTTAATTTTATTAATTAGAGGATCCCAAGTAGGTGGTAGTACCCAGCCTACCTCTCTATTGAAATTAGGATGTTTTTTAATTTCAATAGCCTCACGTATCATCCTTGGCAGAAATCGATGTTCTTTCGCGAGAATTTGTAGTCTATCAAATCTAACGTAATGGCCCCACCATTAGGTACATTAGATTTGATAGATTACAAATATCCGCCGTCTAGGTTATGATCACAAGCCGCAGACATCCCGGGACGTTGGTGTTTCACGTCAGCTATGTTTTCTTTTACGCGGGTTTTAATAGATCTGATACTGATACTGATGCTGATAAACGTTTTGTTTATTTAATTTTATCCTTCTGTGCCAACCTTACCAAAATAGGTAAACATTTTGATAGCCCCTTAGACGCTTTGCCTCTGTACAGTTTCTTTACTCATGTGCCTTGGGGGTGGCCTATGTTCAGCAGTGGACTTGCGAAGGGCTGTAATGATGATAATAATGATGATGAGGTCAACCTTGATGCTACAAAAACGAAAAATAACAATGAGTATAAAAATTCAGAAAACTCACTCGAATGTGACGCTGTTTCACTGTTCACTTCTCTCACTCTCTCTCTCTTATATTTGTAGGCTTTGACTTTAAACTGGCGTCATCCTCTAAAGGTAGCAGTACACGTTGGCCGAACGCGCTCGCCGAGTGCGTTGGGCCAACGTGTACTGGGCCGTTTTGTGTGTATTTGGCGTTTGCGGCCAACACTCGCCGATAAGCCGTATAGTGTCGGTTTTCCGTGCACAAATCAAAGAAATTTGGCGCAAGCCGCAAATAGCGATCACACGTTGGCCGAGTGTGCAGTTCATAGTTACGTTGGTCTTAAACCACTTTCCTTTTCACGAGTTTTTCATTTATGTTCTAAGTTATAATTAGTATTACTAAGTTACAGTTTTTGCTTGTATATACTATATTTATTGTTGTCTTGTTTTTTCTTCTTTCTCAAAAAATAATTGAATACATAAGGTGTTCTTAATATACACCGAATGTCAGACAGAAAAGCTAGTACATCTTTTGCTAAACTTTAAAATCTAAAACCAATTTTAAAACAGACGAATTTATCATAACTCCCTTAACTATAAAATAAGTTATGATGTAATTAATGGTATTTATATATGACATATGACAGCCCTGATTTATATTACTTGGCTGAAATTAGGTACTTCTTATTAGGTATGTCAAACCAAATAACAGCCGGGCGGCTGACATTATGCACTCCATACATTTCGTATATCTAATTACAGCCCCATTAATTTCTACTAAAATTTTAATTAATTTTAAATTCACACAATTTACAAAAAATTATTGTTTTGATTTTTAATTTAACAGTGTTAGGTTTAAAACTGAGGTAATATTTGAAATATACTTTACTCTAGTTACGAAGATTTTTTAGGTGACAATATTTGTAGTTATCATCATTATCATCATCATCATTACAGCCCTTCACAAGTCCACTGCTGAACATAGGCCTCCTCCAAAGAATGCCACAAAGCACGGTCCTGAGCCACCTGCATCCATCGACTTCCTGCATGTCTTACCAGGTCGTCACTCCATCTCGTGGGGGGACGTTCTACACTTCGCCTGCCAGTACGAGGCTGCCACTCGAGAACCTTTCTTCCCCATCGGTTGTCGGTTCTTCGAGCTATATGGCCGGCCCATTGCCACTTCAGCTTACTAATCCGTTGGGCTATGTCGGTTACTCTGGTTCTACTGCGGATATCCTCATTCCTAAGTTTATCACGCAGAGAAACTCCGACCATAGCCCTCTCCATAGCTCGCTGAGCGACCTTGAGCTTCCTCATCCGGCCAGCAGTGAAGGACCACGTCTCAGTTCCGTATGTCATCACTGGCAACACGCACTGGGTGTACAGTCTCGTTTTCAAGGTTTGAGGTATACCTGACGAGAAGATGTGCCGTAATTTCCCGAACGCTGCCCAACCGAGTTGAATCCGTCGATTGACCTCTCGGTCGAAGTTGGACTTACCTAGTCGGACTATTTGTCCCAGGTAAACATACTCGTCAACAACTTCGAGCTTAGTGTTCCCAACAACTACCGGCATAGGTGTGACATGGACATTAAACATGATCTTTGTTTTGTCCATGTTCATCTTAAGACCTATCCGTTGGGAAACACTATTGAGGTCATTGACCATAGTGCTTAGGTCCTCCAGCGATTCTGCCATAAGGACTATATCGTCGGCAAATCGAAGGTGAGTGATGTACTCGCCATTGATGTTGATACCGTATCCTTTCCAGTCCAGAAGCTTGAAAACGTCTTCCAATGCAGCGGTGAAAAGTTTCGGGGATATGACGTCACCCTGTCTTACACCTCTCTGCAATTGGATAGGTTTCGTACTCTGGTTCTGTACTCGGATAGTCATCGTAGCCCTACTGTACAAGCACTTCAACACTTCGATATACCGACAGTCAACTTGGCACCGCTGAAGGGACTGCAGCACCGCCCAAATTTCGACGGAATCAAAGGCTTTCTCATAGTCCACATACGCCAGATATAGTGGCAAATTGTACTCTTCGGACTTCTGTACAATTTGCCGAAGGGTATGTATGTGGTCTATGGTGCTAAAGCCCTTTCGGAAACCGGCTTGTTCGGGAGGCTGGAAGTAGTCAAGTCTGCGCGCAAGACGATTCGTAATGACTCTCGAAAACAGCATGTAGACGCGGCTCAGAAGGGAAATCGGTCTGTAGTTCTTCAAGAGAGCGTTGTCACCTTTCTTGAAGAACAAGACCACCGCACTTCTGCTCCACGCCTCCGGTGTAATGCCACCATGGAGGACGGAATTAAAGAGCCTCTGAAGGACTTCAAGTACCGGTTTTCCATCCTCGCCTGGGGCCTTACCGTTTTTAAGGTGCTGGAAAGCCATTTTAATCTCGCTCAGACTGACGTCCGGGATATCTTCGGAATAGTGTCGGATGAGACTCGCTCTTGGATCGTTACTCACACTTGCGTGTGGCTCCAACGATGACGTGTACAACTGCCCATAGAACCTCTCAATCTCACTCAAAATCTCAGCTGTCCCGGAAACGATGCTGCCACATTCTGTCTTCAGCTTTGACAGTTGGCTCTTTCTGGCAGACAGATCTCTGGCAAAGACTTTGGAGCCTTGGTTCCGCTCGATCGCTTCTTCAATACGAGCTGTATTGAAGTTGCGTAAATCCCGCCGCATGCATTTGGAGATCTGTCTGTTCAGATGCCTGTATGCTGTGAAGTCTGTTGAAGAATGTACCTTCATCTCCCGTCTAACAGCCATGAGATTAAGAGTGTGATCGGAGAGTTTTTGTGTTCTTCTGCGGCGGGTCTTGCAGAACTTAGCTCCGACCGCATGGACAGTTTCCACGAGCTTGTCATTCATATCGTCCACTTCATTGCAGTCTTCTAGGCACTGAAAACGGTTTTGTAACTCGAGCTGAAAGGTTTCGGGACTTTGGATTAGAGCACTTGTAGTTAAGACTACTAGAAACCTTATTTACGAAGTAAAAAGGCAAAAAGGCTGGAATTAGGGGCATGGCTGGTATTAGGGGCATCCACCCTACCTACCTGATGATGAATATTATTATAAATTATCTCTGAGTTTATGTTGCTCAGGGATAATGTAGCTTAGGGGCTTCTTTTAGGCTATCTTTTATTTTGAAAAAAACGCCCAGCGAAGCGGGCACTGGTCAACCAGTAGATCCTATAAGGGTTTCTTTTTTCCTTTTGAGGTCGGAACCCTAAAAAGGACAAACTGGGATTATTGTTGTATGTGTAGTATACATATAAATATAGAACACTCAGCATCCACCATCTTCTTTTGCGCCATCTTTTTTTAATCACTCTTCTCTGGTGCACATCTAAATCAAATTTGATAGCGCTGTATATTGTAGCGGCCGCAATCGCCCTAACGTCCATCATCATCTAGCTACCAACGCAGAATGAAACACGCCAACGTGTGAACGGCATCACGAAAATCTGCCGAGCGCGCTCGCCAAGCGCGCTCCACCAACGTGTACCGGAGCTATTACATATTGTTAGCCGGTTATAAGTACTAAAGGTTAGGCAAAGAATAGATTAGACATTAGACTAAAGATTCAGGGCAAAAAATAGATTTTGTAATAAATTGGTGAATATTTAATATTTAAATCTTACTATACCTACTAACTAATCACATACCTAACTAAGTAGTTAAGTAAGTACTTAGACATTGTTTTGTACATAATATGCTCACTTAAACTAAATTATTTAGCATCAAGTTAAACCTCCGTAGTTTTTATATGTTAATTAGACCTATATCTGTATTATTTTTTTTGATCTGATAAATATATTTAAGAAAAAAACGACGTGAGTACATGTAATTAGTTCAATGTTGTGTTTGATGTTATCTTTATGAATATTGTATGCAAAGTGGAGAATTGTAATTAATTACCTTCTAAGTATATACTTCCAGAAATAATCTAATATAATAATTCATTGACTCAGCAAAAATTTTTCTTAGAGTGTAAAACGTGTGTGTGTGCTTGTATACGTACCTAATAAGTTATACTTTTGTAGCGTAACAAAACAAAAATAACTAAAATAAAATACGTTTTATAGATTCATATATATTTGAATAACTTGAGTGTAGTTATCAGTTCTCACGAAAACTTGACAGTTGACAGACAATTACAGACTGAAGTTGTCGCTTTTAGGTTTCGGTGTGCGCGCGCATCGTAACACCTTCATGGTGTTGTTTTTAGGTGTCGGTGAGCGCGCGCGTCGTAAAAAATTCACTCATCATTTCTCTCAAACGCGCTAAAAGAAGTATAACTTCAATAAAATAATAAATAACAGTTTTCATTTATAGGCATGTTCCCGTGGGTTTGTTTGGCGACAATGCCACTATTTTACCCTTTCGACTGGCCCAAAGTTGTGGCCTGCTACCTCAGAGAAATGTACTATTTAACAAAAAGAAAATTCTGTGAATTCACCAACTTGATAAGAAGTGGGAAAACTGCATGTAAAAATACAGGTAAAGAAAACATTAAAAAAACGGATAAACTCGAGAATGAAGACGTAAAGGTAAAAGCGTGTGTAAACAACGAACCATATAAAGAAGATTCTTCAGAGGATTTAGATGACTCACCGTGTGCGGTTACAAATGATAATAGCGATCATGCGAACGACATCACTCAGGGGACTACCAATACAGAAGAGGTAGATGATAGTAAAAAAAAATTGACATGTATATTAATAAGTATCTATGTATTGACGCAAGCATTTCTACCATTTTCTCATTTTATCACTAAGGTAATTATTTTTATTATAAATAAATTAGAATCAACTAATAAGTTGTAATTGAAACTTAGGGCCGTTTTTCAAGCATCAGATAAATATTGTTCATAGATTAAAGTACAATTTAGAAACAAATAAGAAATTACAGTTGTATGAATAAAATAGTTCAATTGTTTCAGTTTCATTTTCATAGTTTATTTCATGGATAACTTTTATCTGTCGACTGAAAAAATCTGCCCTTAGTGAACCAAACGAGCTATCATTTTACCTGACTGTAAGTTACCAACTACATTCCGTAGACACCTGGGACCTACTTAGGAAAATTATAGTAAGTAAAATAAAATGGCAGACTATAAACGATTTTCCTTTAACTTCCGAAAAATGATGCAGCAGAGAAAAGATCACCATGCGGTTTTAACTATAAAATATATCTTTTTTCTATTTCGTGTTCGATTGATTTTTTAGTACTTTCTCTCATTTTTGTTTCTATTCTAGCTCTAAATCTAGTAGTAACAGTTTTAATTAAGTTTTAATAAAATAATTTTAATACCCATTTCCAGTTTTAATATTTTCTGACACTCCAGAACTGAATTTAATAAAATCTGCATTATGTAATCGAAGTATTTTTAGGGGTTCAATAATTGGACTAATGGCCTCTATGGATACTCGTGGGATATGATGGTGCATACATGGGACGTGCATTCTGTCGTTGTAAAGGTCGTTGACAATGAAAGAAAATCTGAGTTTTACGTCGATCCATATCATTTCACACCCAACGAACGATGGACCAGACACGGAGATATGTTCTACCAGTATGCGCGTTGTCTAAAAGAAAATATGATAAAAGAGTCTACGAGACATAACAAATTTTATGACTCAAGGAAGTATTTGTCAGAAAATATCTCGATATACGTCGACGTCTGGTGTTCTTTGAACGGTAGATTTACACAGCGCATGTTTGACCCAAAAGTAGATTTGTTAACTGTTTCTTGGTCTCCCTTCGCGCCGATTTCGTTTCTGATGCCCCTTCTTGATGAAGCGTTGGATTGGAGGGGACGCTTGCTCCAGTTAAGGGAAAACATTAATACGTGGAATAACTACAGCGACGTTATATTTATTGCCGATTTTCCAGGTAATTATAGACGGTTCGAATTCTTCGCCGTGTGGTGGCGGCGAAAGAGAATCCATCACCACATTTCCTCCTTTGGATGTTGGAAGTGGCGGCTGTGGTAAACGCCATCTTATAGATTCTGATAGATGGTGATATGACTATCTCATTCACGCCCGACGCAATTTATAGATCAGTAACGGAAAACAGCGTCAAAGGTGTGAGACATCTGGTGTTGTTCGTCAACCCGCCTACCAAGCATGATGATTAATGTAAATCCTCTACAAGACAAGAGGGACTCATGTTCAACTGTGAACTTGTATGGGCTCCCAAAGAATACTCCTCCTATTACTTAACGTTATCCCTTCTTTTCTGCCGACTTCCAAAAAGGAGACGGTACTCAATTCGACTGTATGTTTTTTTTTTATGTGTGTTACCTCATAACTTACTTTTTACTGGGTGAACCGATTTCGATCATTCTTTTTTATTTGAAAGCTGGTACTTCTCGTGTGGTCCCATATGAATTTGATCAAGGTCAGACCAATAGCTTTTGAGTTATTATTAATAACTTATAGAAGTCGGCTGTACAAAATTTTTAATATTAATTTAGAATTTTTAATTAGACTTTTTCAAGCACAATGATAATGTGTTGGTTTTCATTTCAATTCACCACCATTTATCTCGAGATTGCCACTCGAAAACTTTTCCTCCTCTCTAGTTATCAGTTATAGGTATAGCCGACCCACTGCCACTTTATCTTTAGGGTACAAATGAACCTCTGAAAACATGCAATTGCAATTGAAATGCTAATAATAATGGTCTCCAGACCGCATTTCGGTCACAGTGGCCAGCCTCAACAGGGACCAGCCTCCACAGAGATCAGCCATCGGCGCATGACAGGATTATAGTGCCCCAGTGTATGCGCAAGCACAGGTGCACTCTCTATTCCTTCGCTCTCATAGTCCGATGGGACGGTAAACCGACACGACCGGAGACAAATCAGGTGCAGGACCAAATGCTGTATGTGCTTTCCAAGGCACGGGGATGAGACTCCGCCAACTTCCTGACTTCGGACAGCTACTGACAATTTCTTGATGGAAAAACTTAATAACTGATTTTTTTTTTGGCCCGACCCGGGATTTGAACCCGGGACATATGATATGTTCAGCAGTGGACTTGTGAAGGGCTGTACCAATAAGGATGACAAAAAAAACCGGCATTTAAAAGACCGTCCACATGGTAGAGCCATGCAGCAGCTATATTAGTAGTATAGTTGTAGCACGAATGGGTCGGCTCGAGCGGGGAAGGACCACGCTCTCACAGAATATCAGAGTAAAAAAGCAGCTTAACGCTGCTGTGTTTCGTATGGTGAGTGTAGAGAACCGGAGACCCTTTTTACTGGAAAAGAGGCATTCCAACTTAGTCCTCACGGGTGACAACGCATCTGCATTTTGATTCTTTATTGAGGATGGATGTAGATGTCTATGGGCCACAGCAACCACTTACCATCAGGTGGACTGTGTGCTCGTTTGTCACCATATCCTATAAAAAAAGGCTGCTGAAATATGTGTGGTGTTTGTGCGACGCCTGTTATACTATCATTATTTACGATGTCTCTGTGTTATTTACACTATAAAATTTTCCCACAGGATATGAATATGAGAAGTATATTCCAACTGAACTCAGAAACGTAACTCTCACAGTTTTAGACGGATTAGTTGTTTACGAGCCGGAGTTATCACCACACCAAATTGGAAAATCTTATCAACTTCGTACAGGAGAAGCAATAAATATTCAATCTGGGATCTTTCAGAAGGTTCTCAACATTGGCAAAAAGCCCGCTTTTTACATGTATACCTTTTTCAATAGCACTGAACTTAACAATGGAAGTGTTAAGCCACCTGTTCCAAAACTACCTATATGGCAGGAATTGCGAAGGCGCCTTAACAATATGGCGCTTTTTGCAAAAAATATAATAACAAGTTTATTTCAGTTGTTTTTTAATATGTCTAAATGTCAACAGCCTTAAGTAAGGTTTCGGTATATACAAATATTACTTCAATTACATAGTCGTTAATGTTTCTTGCTTATGTATACCAAAGATAATGTTTATTGAAATACATTACTTAAACACTTGTTTGCATTTTGATTTATTTTTAGATTATTTTTTAAAAAACATCCATGTGTATCCTTGTCGTTTAAGTAGATGATATTCACTGTTTATAAGACCAAGGATGATATTCAATCAATCAAACAATACTTACACATTAAAACGAAACAAAATGAAACATATATAGCGATTTCTTCCAGACAACCTTTTGCGCAAAGAACTGTTTTTTTACAACGAATTACGAATGAACATAAATTAGACAATTAATTAAATGAAATATATATATGATTTTTATGAGAGTTGAGGATAGGTACAATTAAGGACGGGAATTATGATGGGAACCAAGAACGGAAACGCGAGTCAAGGTCTCAACGGATATGCAAAATGGAAATGCGATAATAGATTATGTCAATTTTGGTCAAGGTGTTATGCTTAGCGCTATAGTAAAATGCGTTAATTCGTTTGCATGACGTTCTCTAAGCCCCTAAAAGTGACCAAGTACATAGCTGAAGAATGCAGAGCGAACTTCTTGATAGATAATTACAAGATAGATGAACTGTTAAAACAAAACTTGTCGAAATTACTTCTGGATCATATAAATGAGGAGGAGCGTGAATGTATCAAAAAACTGTGCTATGACTATCGGGACATATTCTATTATGATATTCCGCTCTCATTCACCAACAGTGTAAAACACAAACTCCGTACTAAAAATGAAGATCCCATATACATTAGGCCATACAGACATCCACCTGCAATAAATGAAGAAATACAGAAACAAGTCGAAAAGCTCCTCCAAAATAACGTCATTAAAGAATCTCACTCACCTTGGCGCACCTGTCCATCTGGTTCCCAAAAAACTCGATGCTTCAGGTGAAAGAAAATATCGTATGGTAATCGATTATAGGCGTTTGAACGAGATCACTATAGATGATAAGTATCCATTGCCGAATATCTTAGACCTGTTTGATAAATTTATCTATTATCTATTTATTTTACAACGTTAGACCTGGCAAGCAGGTATCACCAAATAGAAGTTGAGGAAAGTGATAGACACAAAACCGCATTTACAACCCAGTCAGGCCATTACGAATTTACACACCTCCTGTTCGGATTAAAGACAGCCCCCGCAACATTTCAGCGTGCTATGGATAACGTCTTGAGAGGGTTGCAAGGGTTGCATTGTTTACTATATCTTGACGATTTAATTGTATACTTTTCAAGTCTACAGGAGCACATAGAAAAGTTGAAAATGATATTCGATCGACTACGGGAAACAAATCTCAAAGTTACCCTAGATAAATGTGAATTTCTTAGAAAAGAAGTCCTCTATTTAGGCCATACAATAACAAAAGACGGAGTCAAACCAAATAATGACAAAATCCAAGCCGTAGTAGATTTTCCGATACCAAGAACCGCCACCGAAATCAAAAGATTTTTGGGTCCAGTAGGATATTATCGCAAGTTCATTAAATATTTCGCTAAAGTTACCCAACCACTCACCAATTGTCTTAAGAAAAGGAATAAGATTGAAATTACAGAACAATATGTAGCCGTTTTCGAGAGATGCAAAGAACTTTTGGTAAACGCACCCATTCTCCAATTCCCTGATTTTTCGAAACCATTTGTACTCGCCACTGATGCCTCAAATTATGCTCTAGGAGTAGTATTATCTCAAGGCGCCATCGGAACCGACAAACCAATAGCTTACGCTAGTAGAACTTTAAATGATGCAGAGACCAGATACAGTACAATCGAGAAGGAACTATTGGCAATAGTATGGGCCGTAAAAACATTTAGACCTTACCTATGTGGCCGAAAATTTACCATTTTCACAGTTCATAGACCTTTGGCGTGGTTAAATTCTATGAAAGAACCCAACAGTAAACTCACGTGATGGAAGTTGCGGCTTGCTGAGTTCGATTATGACATCGTTTATAAAAATGGGAAAAAAATTTCGTTGCCGACGCCTTATCCCGTGTTAAGGTAAACGCGTAAACGTATAGAGACGAAATAGCCGTTAAAAATTTATCGAGACAAAAACAAAAGATACTCGAAGTTCATATCCCCCTAAATAGACATGACGTAGTAAAACAATTCTTAAAGGAGTACACCAAACTTAATATAAAACAATTCATTTACTTCGAGAACGACGCACATCGAAAACAATTTTCAGAGGCCGTCATTGAGTTATTTAGAAAGGGTACAGTTAAGATCTTTGAATGCAAGCGAAGGGTAGTCTATGTAGAGGATGAGAATGAGCAGCGTGAAATAATAAAAAAAATATCATATTGGTAAAACATGTCATAGAGGTATAAAAGAGACAATAATACACTTAAAACGTACTTACTTTTGGAACAATATGGACCTAAAAGTAACCACATTCATAAACTCTTGTGAGGTGTGTAAGCGCATGAAATATGACCGTAAACCTTTAAAACCTGAACTTCAGTTAACCCAAACGAAAAAAACCATTTCAGGAAATCTTTATCGATGTCTTCACCGTAGAGGGAAAATCCTATTTAACAATCATCGACGCCTTTAGTAAGCTTGGACAAGCAATAGAAATAAACAATAGGTCAACCCCAGAAATAATTAGAGCTCTTATTAAATATTTCTCTACGTATGGCGTACCACATAGAGTAAGTGCAGACTCAGGAACCGAATTTAATAACGTACTAATGAAAGAAACTCTTAGTTTTTACAAAATAGATTTGCATATAGGCACTCCTCACAATCCAAATTCCAAGGCACATTTCGAACGTTTCCACTCCACCCTATTAGAAATATATCGCTTAGCGAAATATGAAAGAAAAATTACAGATGCTGCATCTGTAATGACATATGCCATCATGTCGTACAACCAAACGATACATTCAACAACAGGCCTTACGCCTTTCGAACTAGTGTTCGGTCATACTGACTCCTCAAGTACTTTTGACGTCGAATTCAATAAAAATTACACACAAAAATTATTACAAGAACATAGACGACGAACTCAATATGTATATGAATATTTAACTAATAAGGCCATTGATAAGAAACAAAGTATTAAAGAAAAAAGAAGAAGTGAGAAGGAATTTAACATTAAAACAGGGGACACAATATTTATAAAGGGCACGAATGTTAGGAGAAGTAAAGATAAAGCACGTTATGAAAAAGCAAAGGTCATAGGAGATATAGTTAAAAATACAGTACCAATTATGTATCACGGTCAAAATACTAGGGCCTCAATTAAGGATATAAAACGTCCTCCACAGGTTCATTCTGTTCCTGCTACAAGTCTTCAGGACCCAGGCCCTTCTACTTCAACCGATTGTCCAAAATTCCGGCATCCTACTACGAATAAAGGAGGAACAAGTTCTCATTAGTAACGATAAGTCGTCCGTAGTTAAGATATTAGACTTAAGCTTAATACGTGAGGATCCAGAATTTAATAAGAATCTATAGTCTATAATATGAGAACCTAAATACACATGTGACACGTTATTTTGGTAAAAAAATTATTAACTCTGAAATAAATAATTTAAAAACTCTAACAGATTATATTCAAAATATAACAATTGAAAAATTAAAACAACTACGAGTATTACCATCGAAAAGGGCTAAACGCGGTATTCTAAATCCTCTCGGGTCTCTTATTAAAATTGTGACAGGTAATTTGGACAATGATGATGCCATAAGGTACGATGCTTTAATAAATGATGTAAAAGTAAATCAAGGTCAGCTAAATAGAAAAATGACAGTGGTCGCCGAAATGATGAAAACCTTTATTAATGTTACAAATAATATAAATATATATACTGTTATTTATATAATATAAAATAATATAAATAACGGTGGTAGAGCCACGCGGCAGTTTTTGCTGTTGCACGTATGGGCCGGCTCGAGCCGGGTTGGTACCACGACCTCACAGAATACCGGCGTGACGCAGAAGCTCTGCTTCTGCGTTTCGTCTGGTGAGTGCATGTGGCCGGAGGCCCAATCAGTGGAGGTGCTCAGGCTGCCTCGCGTATTCTGTAGGGGGGGTGGGGATGGGGTGCAAAATTCCGCTCAAAAACATAACTGCTCGGGGCAAACTGAGCAATAATACCAAGGCGACCCCTGCCACGCTATCCGTGAATTTCTGCAACATCAGGGGACTTCACTCGAACCTAAACACCATCCTCTACCATCTCGAGACGGCGAAGCCGGCCTTGCTCTTTCTGACCGAGATGCAGGTGTCCTCTCTGGCTGATACTTCGTATCTCTCCTACCCGGGGTACAAATTGGAGCACTCCTTTGTGCCTCGGGCCGGAGTTTGCGTGTATGTCAGAGAGGACATCTGTTCTCGACGCCTCGGCAGTCTTCAAAATTCGGACCTGTCCATCCTATGGCTACGCGTAGACAGCGACGACCATCCGCTCGTCTACGGGTCGTATATAGTTCCCATAGCGGTAATGCCGAAACAGACCGACTCATCGACCACATCCAAATGGCTACAGATTCCTGGCTACAACAGGTCCCATCCGCAGAGATCGTGATCCTTGGCGATTTTAACGCACGCCGAATGGCTCGGTTCACGTTTAACCGATCATGCGGGAAGATCTGTTTATGATTTTGCCTTGGCATATGGTCTGACACAACTGGTTATTTCGCCTACGCGGATTCTGGAATCAGGGAAGGTGTATGATCCTCCGCATCTGGATGCGGAGGATCATACACCTTCCCTGTTAGACCTTCCGCTGACCTCTCATCCGGACGGATATCAGGTTTCCCTCGATGCCCCTTTCGGCTCTTCGGACCATTGTCTGATCCGGAGTGTGGTGCCACTCACGCTCCCCTCGCGGTTGCGTTCTGCAGGTTGCCGCCGTGTTTGGCATTACAAGTCGGCGGATTGGGACGGAATGCGGTCTTTCTTTGCATCCTACCCATGGGGGCGGGTTTGCTTCTCGCTGGATGATCCCAGCGCTGTTGCTGACTCTGTCACTGATGTTGTGCTACAGGGAATGGAACTATTTATTCCATCATCTGTGGTACCCATCGGAAGCAGATCTCAGCCTTGGTTTGGTCGCTCCTGTAAGACTGCATTACGCAGTAAGCAGGAGTATTATCAAGCTTGGGCTGTGGCTTCGGCGACTCGGGATGTAAACACCAGCACACTTAAAAAGAAGTATTACTTCGCCTCCAGATCCTTCATAAGAGTTATTGCCAAGACAAAGTCAGAGCACATAGGCAGAATTGGCAAGAAACTAGTTCGCCTTCCTTCGGGAACTCGTGCATTCTGGTCTCTCACCAAGGTCCAAAGGAATTTCTGTAAGCCATCACTACCATCGCTGCACAGGGAGGACGACTCACTGGCCCAAGCCACAAAAGACAAAGCCAACCTTTTAGGCTCCCTCTTTGCGTCCAACTCGACTCTTGATGATGGGGGAAAACACCGCCGACCATCCTGCGGTGTGAGTGCTCCATGCCGGATGTGCTGTTCTCACAGCGCTCTGTTCGCAAAGCACTCCTCTCCCTGGACATTCAGAAGTCGAGTGGGCCTGACGGAATCCCCCCAATTGTGCTGAGGACGTGTGCTCCGGAGTTGGCACCGGTCCTAACGCGTCATTTCCGGTACTCCTACTCCCAAGGCGTAGTTCCGAATTCATGAAAGACAGCTTTTGTCCACCCGATCCCTAAAAAAGGCGACCGCTCAGACCCGTCCAACTATAGGTCTATCGCCATCACCTCCTTGTTCTCCAAAATAATGGAATCCATTATTAACTGCCAGCTCATGCGGTACCTTGAGGATCACCAGCTAATTAGTGACTGCCAATACGGTTTTCATCAGGGTCTATCAGCTGGTGATCTTCTGGTCTACCTGACCCATAGATGAGCGGAGGCAGTAGAGTCCGAGGGGGAGGCGTTGGCCGTTAGTTTGGACATTGCGAAGGCCTTCGATCGGGTTTGGCACAAAGCGCTTCTTTCGAAGCTCCATTCCTATGGGCTTCCCGAGAAATTGTGCAATTGGATCACCAGCTTCCTTGCAGATCGGAATATCAAGGTCGTTGTAGACGGTGCATGCCCCGACTACAAGCCTATTAACGCTGGTGTTCCACAAGGCTGTGTGCTATCACCAACGCTGTTTCTTCTGCATATCAATGATATGTTGCTAACTGGTAACATTCATTGCTATGCGGATGACAGCACTGGTGATGCTTTATAAACCGGCCGTGCCAATATTTTTCGGGAAAACGTCGCTGAGTATCGGAACAAACTTGTATCTGAAATCGAGTCTTTGCTGAACAAAGCCTCAAAGTCCCCAGTGCCAGCTACTTCCACTTGACCGCATTCAGCGCAGAGCGGCTTGAATCGTCGACGACCGAGTCCTTTCCAATTGGCTCGATTCATTGGCATTGCGAAGAGATGTTGCATCCCTTTGCATTTTCTTTCGCATCTACCACGGGGAGTGCTCTGAGGAATTGTTCGGATTAATCCCAGCCGCCAAATTTCACGAACGCACATCGCAGCAGAACTCCCGATACCATCCATGCCATCTGGATTATTGGCAGTCCACCACTGTGCGATTTAGAAGATGTTTTCTTCCTCACACGACTTCCTTGTGGGATCGATTACCATCAGCGATTTTTCCGGACCGATACGACTTAGGGACCTTCAAGAAAAGAGCCTACTCCTTTTTAAAAGACCGGCAACGCATCTGCAATTCCCCTGTTGTTGCGGTTGTTCATGGGCGGCGGTAGTTACTTACCATCAAGTAAGCCGCATGCTCGTTTGCCCCCTCTCCTATAAAAAAAATAGTACAAAATTCAATTTCATACAGCTGAATAAAACTCTTTGGGAAATGAGAAAACAAATTAATATAACAAACAACTCTCAAACGGAACTTAAAATAGCTAACGTATATAACCTGTTTCGACAAAACTTTCAAACTATATATATCAAACTGGATGAAATTGAAACAGCGATAGCTTTTAGTAAACTAGGAACATTGCATCAGTCTATTATTGACACTGATGAACTCTTGTCATTGTTAAAAATTATTGAACGAAGTAATAATCTTGCATTTACTGTAAAAGTAGAAAACATTTTAAAAATAGAGCAAAGTATAGATTTAAAAGTATATGCAAAGGAAAATCAAATAACCTTTATTCTAGATATAACCCTAGTTGATTCGAATACATACGTATATTACAAAATTCTAATTCCATGAACCAAATATCCCTTATTATACCCAAATACCCTTACCTTCTGATGAAAGGGTTGAAAGCGCTGTCACTTCTTCACCCATGTAAAGAAATTGATAAAAATTCCTGTGTGAAGAGGATTATTCATCCATGTTAATTAAAGATAATTGTGTTACCAGCCCAATGAGTTTTGCAGCTAACACCACCCAATGATAGAGTTTAATGATGTAAAGATAATGAAAATAGAAACCGATCGATGGATGTTCTATTAAAAAATTACAGTATTACTTACCAAAAAATGAGGAAATGAAATATCATACTATAATTTAATTGGGACATACATAATCTCAGCCGACGCTAACTGCGAAGCTAAAATTAAGGGATTCAGTCTGAAAAGGCAAGGCGTAAGCGTGGGCGTAGATTGCTGAATTGCGTTTGGAAGACGGGTGGTCTTTCGTGTGAATACTGATAGCTACTCTTTAGCTTAAAGATCTAGAATAAGAATTAGGATTGTCATAGTTAGGCTCTCACATGTATCGGACATGTAGTTTTAAGTTAGAATCCATCGCGGCTTAATTAAGTAGTATATAAGTAATGTATCGCACATTAATAGTAATAAGTTTGAAATAAAGTTTTTTAAAAAAACGTCCTGAGTCAATTTCGAATCTTAACTACTACAAAAACAACAACAAAAATAACAACAAATATATTAGCAAACTAGAGAACGCACGGGAGCATAAAAAACGGACGTAAGACGTAAGTATGTACACTTCGACGTTGGTATCGGTACTAAAAGGACGTAAAATATCGATATATCGAAATATCGATATTTTTTAATAAAAATATCGATATATATCGTCCATATTTTAAATCGCGATATATCGATATTTATTTTAGAGTATCGAATTCGTATCAATTTCGATTAATTTTAAAATGTATTAATGACAAAACATGTAACAACAAGAGGAGGTACAAAACTATTCATGTGTGGTTGGTTGTCGTTTGTTTTGTTTTCGTCGTCCAACCGTCAGTAATATAAAATTTTGGACGTTATCTTTACATCATGTAAATGATGACGATATATCGATAATCGATATTCAAACTATAATTCAAAAAAATCAAACAACAAACCAAAGGCCCATTAAGCTGAAGGAATGCTAGCTTTACGAGCTGTTAAACACAGTTCAGTTTCGAACATTGATCATTAAACAGAGGTAGTTAAATGTGATTTCCCAGATTTCCAAGCCCTAGACGGCTTATAAACGCATCGTACCAAGTGAATAGAAGTTATTAAACATGTCTTAGCGCCACATTTTACGAAGAACTAGTTAAGGACAAAGGACAACAGAGATTCAGTCTCTTTTTTTTTCTCTTTATTTATTTAGGAATTTTTATTTGTTAATATGTCAATCCCATTATAACTAATTTAAAATCTATACATTTATTATTAATCTGCACATACTCAATATAATATCCGAGGTGGGGGCATGTAGAATGCCTTGCGCAATACCCATATTGTACATATTTATCTTATAGGTCCTTATAAATAATTCCTTTGCCCCTCTTCGCTCACATTCCGTTAAAAAATGGTGTAAGTCTTCTATTACTCCACACGTTTCACAATTAGGTGAATCAGTTTTTTTCATCAAATAAGAACATTTTTTTGATGGGATGTGACCTGTTCTTATTCTAAACATTATTTTAATAATATTTCTATTTATTTTTGTGTCTGTAAACCAGGGTATTCGGGGTGGCTCACTCTGTATCGTTTTGTACCAAATACCTTTCGTTTTGGAGGAGCGGTCATTGAAAAACTCTTTCCATTCGGTATGACATGAATTTCTGTATTTTGGCAGTACTTCTGAGTAACAGGGGTTAATATTATACTCTACACCATTTACACAAGCAGAATTCGCTAATCTATCTGCCTCCTCATTACCCAATAGACCAATGTGTGATGGAATCCATTGCACTCTTGCACAGATATCGCGTAGACTGAACTCATATAGTTGAGAAAGTATGGTGTAGGCTATCGAAACACCTCTGATTCCAGAGGCGGATCGAGCCAAATGTTGGATAGCAGTTTTGCTGTCCGAGTATACAATAATTTTGTTCCAGTTATAGCTTGCGGCATACCTTAGGGCTTCGGATATTGCAATGAGTTCAAGGGTCATAATACAAACGTCATTAGTAACTTTATAACATCTAGAGATTGCTCGAGATGAGTCGAAAAAAGCTGCTCTCGAAGCGAGCTCGAAAAACTTAGCACTCTTTGATCCGTCTGTGTAGATTTTATGCCAATCGTGGTATTTATTTTCAAATTCTTCAATAATATTTAGTTTAAGAGAATTTTTTTCATATAATTTTTTGGATTGTTTTACAGACTCTAATTTACTTAATAATATATTTTCAATATCAATGCGGGACAACCATGTGCTAAGCGAAAATGATTCGAGAAAAGGGGATGATTGTATATTCATAATTTTAGTCTTATTATAAGATTTAACTAATAGTGGGATTTTCTTGCGTTGCCAATATCTTGTTTCACAGAGAGTGCTAAGTTGCTTTAACAAATTAATTGTAACATTATTCGAAAAAGAGCTGGCTTTTAAAACATATTTATAAGCTAGATATAGTCTTCTAATATTAAGTGGAGGTACGCTTAGTTCGCTTTCCATTACATGTATTGGAGAACTTTTGATAAAACCACGAATAACCCTTAACGCTTTATTTTGTATTTTATCTAATTTTGATAAATGGACATTAGCGCAATTATCAAATAAAAAACTACCGTAATCGATTCTACTTCTTATTAACGAAATATACAGCTGACGAATATGTTTGGGTTACACTCCCCACGATGGCCCAGACAATACCATTAGTAGATTTAAAAACTTATTACATTTTTCTGTGATCTCATTAATGTGTTTGTTCCAGAGTAGGTTACTATCTAGCCACCACCCCAAGTATTTAAAGCAATTTAGGGAAGTCAATGAGCGTTCGTTAACTGTTACATTAGGCAGAAATCGTCTACGTCCTCGACTAAACAGGCATAACTTTGTTTTGTCAGTTGACAGCTGTAAACCTAGATCGTTTAACATTTCCACTATACAATATAACGCATTATTGATCTTTGACTCACAGATTTTTATATCTTTGTCTTTTATATAAATAACAAAGTCATCAGCATATTGAATAATGTTTACGTTGTGTTGTGATAGTAAATGGCAAATTCTATAAGACGCTATATTGAATAGGAAAGGGGATATTGGTGGGTCTCCTTGTGCTAATCCTTTATTTGTGCTTCTTTTAAGTACATTATTTTCAACTTGAGATTTTACCCATAAATGTCTTTCGCTTAGGAATAACCATAAATATGTACAGAACTTACTACCAACTTGCAATTCATCTAATATTTTTAAGACACTATTTATATCAACATTATTATAAGCGTTTTCAATATCTAAAAAGCAAGCTAACGTGGGTATATTTTGTGTAAAACCAGTTTGCATATATGTTACCAAGCGAGACTGACAGTCCAAGCAAGATCGTGATTTCCTAAATCCAACTGTCGATGGCGAAAATACGCAATTTTTTTCAATGAACCATTCTAGTCGCTTTAGCATCATAATGTGGAAAATTATACAAAGACATGACATTAAGGAAATTGGTCTCAGTTTATCATCAGAATTAGATGGGCTACTATTTTTTGGTATAGGTATAACCAGCACATTACGCCATTGACTTGGTATATTTCCAGACCTGTACACAAGGTTATAAAACAATAAAAGAAATCTTTTTGCGATATCGGGAAGATTATAGATCGTACTAGAATAATTTCGGGGTTTGAATTTTGCTTCTGGATCAATGCGTACTTTTGTAGTAGGTATACTAGCATCGGCCGCTTTATCAAGTTGAGCAAGTAGAAAATTATACATTTCTTGAATACATGTTTTATCATATGTATCAATATCTAATAAATCAATGCTAAAGGATTCTTTAATTTTGTTAGTATAGGCAATCCAATCAATTTTCTTAAAATTACGTTTCTTAATGCTATTATATTCTTTTGGGATATTAGTACTTAATTTAATTAAAAGGTGATCGCTCCCTAGATTTTCATTAAGAACCTTCCAAACGAAGTTAATGGCAATATCATTTGATACAAAAGAAATATCTGGGGAAGTTTCTTGTAAAAACCCATTGACAAGTTTAACTCTCGTTGGCATTCCATTATTAAGAGAAAAATAACCATATTCTATCGATGAGTCTACTAATTGCACCCCTCTTGCATCGGTTTTGTACGACCAATTGCTGTGGTGTCCATTAACATCACCTGCTATTAAAGATTTTTTTGGGAAGAAGGAAAATAGCTCCTCCCAGTCTGATGCTTGAGTTCTAACTGATGATGGACAATAGACTGATATAATATTTTGTAAGAACTCACAATTTAACACACACAATTTCTATGCTTGGGTTAGTTAATCGAATTGTACTTATTACGCTTTGAAGTGAGTTGTGTGTAACGATTGCAACTCCACCATAAGAGTCATATCTGTCCCGTCTATAAATATTATAACCTTTAATATTAATATTATCATCAGTATTTAACCATGTTTCACTTAGTATGGCTATGTGTATTTTTTCTTTTATCAAAAACTCCCCAAGATCTATCAATTTTGGTTTCAAACTTTGTGTATTCCACTGTAATATATTAATAGCGATGTTTTTGTTATTTGTACTATCCATGATTCATATAATTTAAAACTGTTTCATAAATTTTTCGTCCCGATATTAAACTACTCACAAATGTTTTAATTACTTTAAAAATAGCCACGAAAACCGCAAAAACTTTATCCTCAAAACTTTTCCTAGAGTACCAAATAGAATGAATTTTTAATGAGAGTCCCTTAAAATCAACTGTTTTTTCACTCATTTCTTCTTCGTCTGAAGTACTTTTTTGGCTTTCTTCTTCCGCTTCCTTAAACTCAATATCATTTTCTATCATATTTATTTTTTTCTTTTCTCCTCTTTGTCTTTGTTTTTTCTTTTCTTTCTTTTCTTTTTTATTTGTTTCTAAAGGTGTTTTTCCTTCCTCTGAGGCTGGTTCTTGATTATTTTCATTATGAACTTGAGCGTCAGCAACAACCTGACTATAACTTCGAGAGCCACGGTTTTCCCATACTTGTGTAGGCTGTTCTGTCATCTCTTGATTGACAAAAGTATTTTTAGAGTGCATATTTAAGTTTTCGCTCATTTCTATTTGACTTTTATTTATAAACATCTGTAGAGCTTTTCTGTAAGTTATATTTTCCTTACTCATAGTGATACGTATTTCTTTTTCTTTGAGATACATAGGGCAACTTTTATCCAAAACGAAATGTAATCCTTTACAATTGAGGCACCTGTATGTTTTTAGATCACAGTTTATGTGTTCTGTACTACCACATTTTGGACATAAGATTTTTTTAGTCGGGCATGCTTTAATAATATGTCCGAATTTCCAGCATCCGGTACATTGTGTTACTGGAAAAGTGTAGTTTTCCACTTTGAAATTATACTCATATGCCGTGACATAAGGAGGTAAAATAGTGCCTTGAAAGCATATCCTTACAGTTTCACTTTCGACCCACTTGATATTTAAATCTAGTCGTTTAAGTCGTCTTACCGCCAACATTTTGATATCACTTTTCAAAATTGCTAAAATATCTTCCTCAGTAAACTCCAAATCTACACCTCTGATCAATCCATAAGAAACCGTGGTTTCAAACGTTTTTTGACATTTGTACTCTAAATCGTGAAATTATATTCTGAATAATATTCTGAATATTCTCACTTCGTAATAACTTAGCTAACGCCATTTGTTTTGGTAATTCTTTAAATGATGTAACACAAACCTCATATTTAGATCCGATTTCTTTCGATGTTGTCTTTTGTCCCTGTCCTGTTGAAATACTTCTTAAGAGTCGTTTCGGTCTTTTCTCTACTGTCACATAATCATCTTCGCTGTTTGTATCTTCTTCACGTGCTTTTCTCTTCTCCAATCTCACTTCAGACTTTCGGGTAGTGAACCCAGAGTTCGCCTGTTCCATTATAGCCACACGAGTTATTCTTCGATCTTCAATTTGCTTTAGTTCTAATTGACATATACGTATGACTTCCGAATCACTTCCATCACTTCTGTCTATCGATTTATCTTTATCACTATCCATATTTAAACATGAGGGTAAATTTAAAAATAAACTTTATATTACGAACTGAGCGGTCTATGACGTGTGTGCACCAGACGGCAGCTCGCGCAAGACTGAGATTCAGTCTCATCATTGACTAATCAACTGACATTAGTACAAGTAAGCAACTGGGTATTGTAAGCAGATATTTCAGTCTGAAACTTAAAAAAGTTGTTCATATTTTCTAACTTCAGAACGACTTAAGAGCCCTCTTACATTTCGGCGTTTCGCAAATTTAGGTATTTTACATACCGTGCGGGCGGCGAGTTATGCGACCGATACTTTCTTTCATATCTATTCACTCGCTCGCACTATATTACTGTGAGTATGGCGATTAAACAATCTTGATCTTCCATAATACAAGTTTTCTGGAGTTCAGTGGATGGAAAATTTTTTGGTGTGTAATTTTAATGTTATCTTATTAATTTATTATTATACAGGGTGTTTTTGGAACGCTCCCGAAAACTAAGACAGGCGACAACACCAAGTATACCTTTGATCATGGGTTACAAATAAATTCGATCCTGATGAAAAAAAAAATCATCTTTTTACAAGGTTTTATTAGCTTTATTCACGCGCCATCATGTTAGTACAGCTAAATGAAACGATAATTTCATAAAAAATATCATGAAAATACTGAAACATAAAACCAGCAGTGGAATGACTGAATTGATATCACCTGACCTGAGCTAGATAAAGGTCAATGTACGCGCGAACACAAATTCGCGCGGCCCGCAACTAGCGGGCCATCCCACAATATAATAATTTACAACACGTGTCTAAATACCTAACTTATCTACTTAACCTACTATTTTGTCACTGTGCTTATCTCCACGTAGCCACTTTAATCCGAATTTACAGGTTAAATAACCCAAATAACTGGTTCGATTCCCCGCTAATGAAGAAATACTTAAATGAAATGTAACCAAGGTTGGAGTCATGCGTTTTTATTCATCGTGTAGGTATGTTTATTATTCTCATGTATTCAGTTATGTACCTATTCAGATTAGTCTAGTACTAAGTTATTTAAAAAAAAAATAGTTATGAAACAGCTTACTGCTCTAAATCCTCCGTGGTCTTATGAGATGCGGCTCAAATTGTGCTCCATTCATTTCAAGGCAGATTTGGGTGCAGGCGGGGCTACATCGTGTGGTCTTCGACACAGTCCGTACGTAGTTTCTCGAAAGCATCCACGATCCTTTGGCGCATTTCTTCAGCACTATCACATTCACGATTAAAAACCCTTTCTTTCACATACATTTAGGTATCGCTGTCCGTTCAGTCGCTCTGGCAGAAACACTGGTCCCAGTATGCGATCCTTAAATAAACCTGCCCATACGTTAACCGACCATCGGGTTTGGTGCCCGGTTTGTCGAACAGCGTGCGGGTTAACCTCTGAATACACGTGTGTATTTCTTCGGTTCCACAGGCCGTTTCTGGTAAATGTC